GTGCCCGGCCCCCTTCCTTCACCCCTGCCTCCAGCTCACCACCCAGTACCAAGTCGTGTCGGTGTCACCCCGAGTTCTCTCTGACCCTCCGCTTCTGCTCCCTGGCTGTAATCAGCAATCGGTTTGGGTCTTCTGACCGCCACGCTGCGGCCGAACACTTGCTCTTCCAGTTACTCCCCAGGAAGCCCAGGGGGTAGGTACTGTGATCCCCGTGTTACCGTCCAAGACAGCAGCCACTGCACATGCAGACGCGCGCCTTTGTCTTCTCACGTTAACCCTCCTCCTCTCCAGCACCCCCAAATCTGAGCGGTGTGTCCTCCGGGCAATGGAAGGTCATCTGTGCCCGTGTGTGCCGCCCATCAGACTGTGCACTCCACTCAGCAAGGCCAGAGCTCTGTTCTGGTCACAGCTCAATTCCCCTCACCCAGTTGGCACTGAAAGAACGAATTCCTCCCTCGTTTCTGTGGAATCACAGGTCTCGTGCTGATGGAAAGAAGGCTGCTGTGGGCTGTTGTTCATTGCCGTTTTTTGTTGTTTTTTTGTGCGTGTTTTTTAAAAAATATATCTTTATTGACTTCAGAGAGAGGAAAAGAGAGAGAGACAGAGAGAGAGAGAGAGAGAGAAACATCAATGATGAGAGAGTCATTGATCGAGCCCACAACCCGGGCATGTGCCCTTACCAGGAATCCAACCCCGATCGCCTGGATCCTAGGTCGTCGCTCAACTGCTGAGCCACGCCTGGCCTGGCCATTGCCGTTTTTTTTAACATAGGAAAGATTCAAACATCCGTGGAAGCAGAAAGTGGTACAGAGGCCACACATGTAGCTGAGAGCTGCGTGTGGCAGCCGCCGGGGACTGGTCAGGAGTCCCTCAACCCTGCCGGGATCGCTGTGTCCATGGATGAGGGTACATCCCCCCAGTTTGATGCCTATATGAATAAAAATCTCCTATTTTCTTCTTGCCCCAGGGTCTCACTTTGAGTACATCATCACAGACAAGAAGGGGAAGAACCACAACGTCGGCTTGATCCAACTGAACCGCCCCAAAGCACTCAACGCACTCTGCGATGGCCTGATCACGGAGCTCAACCAGGCGCTGGAGGCCTTCGAGAAGGACCCAGCCGTGGGAGCCATCGTCCTCACCGGCGGGGAGAAGGCATTTGCAGGTGTGGTGGGAGCATGGTGGCAGGTCACCCAGGTGTGCAAGGGTGGTCTGACCATGATCATGCTCGTGGTGTGTGGTGTTGCAAACAGACTTACATATCTGAGGTAGGGTCAGAAAACCTCATACAGCTTGGGGTTTATTTACATGTAAAGTGGAAAGGGGCTGGGGAACTGCCTGGATGAGGTGCTCGGTATGTTTAACACTCAGGTGTGCTCTGCCAGCAAAGTAAGTTTATTCAAAGTGATTCAGGTCCTCCATAGTTAGGTATTGTGTGTTGAGGGCTCAAGTGACTAATGAATAACCTAGCCTTCTCTGAGTCCACTTCTAGTCTGTTTCTTGTCTCGTGGTCCCTCTGTATCACCTCTTTGAACATGTATCACAGCGACTTGCCACTGTCCATC